GCGCGGCACGCGGCGGCGCACGACAACATGACGTGCGCGTGCGTGGTGTTTGGGGCGCCGGGGGACGGCGGCGGCGGCGCGTGAGGGCGCTGGCGTGCAGCGGCCGGCTGCGGGCGGCGCCGGCCGGCGGTGCCCACTTGGCAAGTCCGCCGCGCCGCCGCTGGCGGGGGTGCTGTTGCTGATCGTGTTTTGCCGGGGCGCCGCCGCTTCCTGTGTGGTACAGGATGATCGTCACATCCGCTCGCGAATCATGTACATGACTGTTATGGCAACCGCATATGGTGTGGGATCAGGACGCGGGCTGGCGCTGTCAGCTATAAAGCCACCCCACCTCGTAAACCTCATGCCGCGGCTTTGCGCCACGCGGTCCGCCGCCGACGGCCGCACCACCCCTGTTTTTGAGTCCCGTACCACTTGTCTGATGGACACCCGAGAGCGTTCCCAGAGACTGCAGCGCGAGACACCGCCAGGCTGCTCTCTGCCGCGCGGCCGGCCGCGCAGGGATGTCTGTGTTTGCGGCATCATGTGCCCGCATGGCCGCCTTGTCCCTGCACCCAGCAGAACTGCGGGCGTTGGCGACGTTTCTCAGCAATCAGAGTGCGCCTGATATAGGTATGCGAGCAAGTTGATCCCCATACACACACTCGTTGCGATTGCACATGTTCAAGCCACCGTGCGTTGCTTGCTTGCAGTTGACCGGAAGCAAGCCTCCCCCCCTCTTAGTTGCAGTCAAGAGCAGCCAGCCGCTGAGCGCGCGTGCGCCGGCGCTAGCGGTCGTTCGGCGACGCGGTCCCGCCCCCTGGCCAGACCCTCTGCCGGCTTGGGGCCCCGCATCGGTTTTTGGGCGCCGCTGTTGCCCTTTTGTTGACCGGTGGGGCGCGAGCCCTCGCCTGCCCTGCCTCCCTCCTCCCTCCATGCGCTGTGGGACCAGAGAGTCGGTGCCCCTGGGCCTTTGCTGCCCATTCGGCGCCCATCAATGGACGCCCGCGCGCCCCTCGGCGGCCGCCGCCGTCTCGCACCCTTGACACTTCCCTCTTGCCCTTATCCCCCGGATTGTCTGTTTGTGCCTTGTCCTCGCGTACCTCGTCATGCCGCTGCATACGATGCTGGCCGGCGGCCATCTGATTTGTACAGTAATGGAGTAACCCTGATCATGGATTACTCGCAGCGCGTTGCCGCCGACAAAGGCGAAAAAGGAAGTGCCTGCGCTCGCCGCGCTGGCGGCAGGGGCGTGGGTGTTGGTGGGGCTGCACACTCGGGCGGCTGCGGCGCGCGGGCGCGTGCACTGTGTGCCTAGGGGTGCTAAAAGTGCGGGGACGGGGGCGCGAGAGTCCAACAGCAATCGGGTTGTCGGCGGGGGGCGTCGCCCGCTCCTCGCTGGTGCAAGGGCTCCCCTGAGGGGGTTGTCTCGCAATGCCTGCGACACGCAATGCAACGGGCGCCGCGCTCTGGGAAAAACCGCCATCCCGGCGGCGGCGGCGGCGGCGCCCCGCAGTCAATGATTAATGGAACAATGATTAATGGAATTGCAGAGGGTGCGCAGCCGCGGCGGCCGGCGGGGTGCCCGCCGCTCGCTAGTGCTGGTCCCCGGCGCGCTCCTCCGCGCCGCGCTGCGGCGCGGCCGCCCGCTTGGGGTGGGCGGCGGCGCCCGCGGCGGCGCCGGCGCCGTCCATGCAGACCTCCACAACGACGTCGCCCCGCGAGCGCGCGGCGTCCGCGGCGCCGACGTCGCCCGTGATGGGCTCCGCGCCGGCGGCGGGGGCGCGGCGCCAGAAGAGGGCCTTGAGGACGGCGAGGCAGAGGCCGAGGGAGACGCCGATGGAGTTGGGCACAAAGATGAAGGGGTCCCTGGGGGGGGCAAAGGGTGGCGGAGGTGGTGCGGGGGACACAGAGGAACATATCAGGGCTGTTGGAGTTGTCTTGCAGTACATTCTTAAAGGTCCAGGCTCCTGGGCCCAGTCATGCTTTGGGTTGCACGGGTCGTGCCAGAGCGGCCACGCTTGATCTCGCAAGCGGCGGCGCCGTGGCCGCGAGGGCGCGCCGGCTGCAGTGTGCACGCGGCAAAGTGCGCTGCGCGGGCGTGTTGTGCCTCACCCGACCATGAAGCCGTATACGGTCCAGAGGCCGCTGTTGGAGATGTCGCAGAGCAGCCGCAGCAGCAGGATGGACGCGCTGTTGCGGGTGCGGATGACCTTCCAGGCGGCCGCAAGGGGGGAGCCGTAGTAGCTGCGGGGCGCGGGGAGGGTGGTAGTGGAGGCGGGGGGAGAGATGAGCGTCGACAAGGGTTGTTTGGGGCAAGGGGAAGCGAGATGGGCGGGGTGGCTGTGGGCCCCATATGCGGAGGCAGCGGCAAGGCCCGAAGCAGCTGGGGCTGGCGCCGCCGCGTGCTGCGCGGGCAGCCGCACGCCAATGAGGCGCCGATGTGCGTGCGCGCACCCAAGGGTGCAACCGCAAGCCTCCCGCACTCCCAACACCACTGGCAATGCGGGGGACGCATCACGCGCTGAACAGTTAGCGTGACCCTGGCCGCTCGACAACACCGCCTGGCAGCGTGTGGGTGCGTGTTGACCCCCCCCCCATCCCGGCGCTCACAGGACGGTGATGGCGTCGGCGGTGAGCCCCCACATCATCATGGCCTTGGCGTGGTCCTTGATGATGACCGACGACACCACCCCCAGCAACGGCATCGTGAACGCCGTGAAGCACAGCACGGCCAGCATGAAGTTCTGGGCCTGGGGGGTTGCAGTGCCGGGG